GTCAGCCACTCCTTGGATGGCAGATTGGGTAGTCTACTTCCATACAGATACCACCTTGGAAAACCAAGGGGGTTGCAATGAGTCAAATTGACTCGATGACAGTGAGGTTTTTATTTTTTTAATATATATATACATATAATGTATATATGTATTAAGAATGTATATATCCAAGAAGTACAGTGACTCTAAATATGACAAACTAAAGAGATTCATGCCAAGATATTTTAAAAGAAAACTGTCAAAAGCCAAGGATAAAAAGAGAATCTTGAAAGTAGCCAAAGAGAAGTAAACTGTCAAATAAAAAGGATCTTCAAAGAAATTAACAGGCAATGTCTTGCTGCTATGATGCTGGAAACTATGCCATCAGTGTTTCAAATACCACTAGGGTGACCCATGGTGAACAGTTTTCATCAAAGCTTCCAGTAAGACAGACTAAGAAGGAGGATGTGGCAGTCTACTTCTGAAAAATGTAGTCACTAAAACATTTATGAATAGCAGCATAACATTGTCTGATATAGTTGCTGAAATCACCTCTTCATGTTGGAAGGTACTCAAAATACTACTGGGGAAGGATTGCCTCCACAATAATGAAATGGATGAAGTAAAGTTTTGGGACTTTCATATGGTAATGTGGTAGGACTCCAGATGAGAAGAAACACCTTTAAACATCCATTAATAATCTGAACATTGAATGTACAAAGTTATTGTTGGTAGGGCTTTCAAGTTAGTTGCAACTCATAAGAACCCTATATGCAAGGGAATGAAACACTGCCCAGTCCTGTACCATCCTTACAATCCTTGGAATGCTTGAGCTTATGATTGCAGCCACTGTGTCAATCCATCTCATTGAGAGTCTTCCCCTTTTTCACGGACCCTCTACATTACCAAGCATAATATCCTTCCCCAGTGACTGACCCTTCTGAAAACAATGACCAAAGGAGGTGAGTCAAAGTCTAGCTATTCTCACTTCTAGGGAGTATTCTGACTGCACTTATTCCAGGACAGACTTGTTCATTCTTCTGGCAGTTCATGGTATTTTCAGTATTCTTCTCCAACACCACTTCAAAGACATCAACTCTTCTTCAGTCTTCCTTATTCACGGTCCCTCTTTCACATGCTAACGAGGCAAATGAAAGCAACATAGCTTGGGTTAGGTGGACCTTAGTCATCAAGGTGATTTCTTTACTATTTAGCACTTTAAAGAGGTCTTTTGTAGCACATTTCCCCAGTGCAATATGATATCTGATTCCTTGATTGTGGCTCCCATGAACTTTGATGATAGATCCAAGTAAAATGAAATCCCTGACAACTTCCAAGTAAAATGAAATCCCTGACAACTTCAATCTTTTCTCTATTTATCATAATGTTGCTTATTAGTCCAGTCATGAGGATTTCAGTTTTCTTTGTGTTAAGGTGTAATCCATACTGAAGACC